CTCTTCTGAAAAATACAGATGGCCGCAGCAAACTATTAGGCAAAGCATAGAATTCTATGATTCATAGAAAAATGTTGCCTGGGACATCAGGTACATATCAGCAAGAAAAGGTGGAATTCTGACCTTCTCTTTGGGGACTGTTCAGAGATTGTATTTTCCTGAGTTCCAAGTACAATAAATTGCAGCATAAGACAGGCATATATAATGAACTGCTGAAGAAATCTGCTGACCTGAGGTCTGGCTCTGTCCTTCATATTGTACCAGATATGTGTATATGGATCTTGGATGAATATTTTTGCTCAGCGATGCTGAATTTATAGATGTTGAGAGAGAGAGAGAGAGAGAGAGAGACTCTCATCCAGCTCTGACATCAGTGGGACTGTCCTGACACTATTCCTGCTCTTTAAACTGGGTCTGTAGTTACAGACGTCACCTGTGTGTGTCTGGACTTTATGCACCTGAACTGACACTGACCTCACTTGACACCTCACCTCAGATAAACACCTACATGCAGGGATTAGACAATGATACCTGCACCGGCAGTCACTTCCAAGCAGCAGAATAAACTTCAACGTTATGTTCAGATGGATGGATGGGTAGTTGGGTGGATAGATGGATGGATGGATGGATGGATAGGTAGATGGATGGATGGTTGGTTGGATGGTTGGTTGGATGGTTGGTTGGATGGATGGTTGGTTGGATGGTTGGATGGATGGTTGGATGGATGGTTGGATGATATACATATTAAACAACTAGCCAGTGGGATTAATGTAATCTAACGCAAATAAATGATAAACAGCATGAATTGAGCAGCACTCCAAAAAGCAGCATAAATAAAATGATGTCCATTTCTGTATTATTGTCTTATGTATATATGTTTGTACAGTTGGATGGATGTGGCTCATTCAGCTAATTGAAAAAAATAAGGAAGAATGACCATTCAAGCTGACTTGGACTTTAATGTACCTGTGCAGGCTGTCAGTTGTCTGACTACCAGCTCTGCTGTTAAATGAATAGTTTGGTGAAAATACCACCCCCCCCCCTTACCCAGATGTAGTTAATTAGCCAAGATGTGATATTTGCTTGTTTAGATTTGCTACCAGACTAATGCAGCTGACAAACATTGAGTTGTTAATGAGTCTCAGGCAGACTTGCTTATGTGGCTTCTGACACCATGACATACTGTTATCCATAAAAATGGACAAAAGTACACTCATATGCGAAAGTTTTAGTACCCCCAACAAATTACGTTTTATTGATTTTCTAAGTGTTGTGGAGATTAGCGTTTACCCTCATCTAACACTCTGAATTCAGGTCATGAAGGCCTTGCTAATTAGCTGATGAGCTGAATCAGGTGTGTTTTAATGAGGTAGCGTGCTGAAATCTGCAATGTTTTGGCCCACCAGGACTGGAGCCTGACACATGTGCTCTGCAACAACTTAATTATGCGTTTTTCTGCGTTTGAGTGCACAATTTCTGTTTATTTGCCGAGTTTGACGTAATGGAAAAAGTAAAACATAAAGTATGAAATCTACCATACATTTTGCACAGGCTGCTTTTTTTTCCATTTAGTTTCCTAATACGTTTAATTCAGCAAATAAACAGTAGCTGTGCACTAAAATGTGCAGAAGTCTGTTCTCTGTATAAGATGTGTTTACTTATTTTCAGAAAACATGGGGTGCCCAAAACTTTGCATACAACTGTATGTATAAAATTCAGACTTCAAGATGACTGTTAGTGTTTTAATCTATAAAAGATTGTCCATTTTGTGTCCATTGCACATTTTCTCTATTACATCTACACCCATTTTCTCTGTCTCTCTGTGTCCTTAGTGGTGCGGGCCTGGCTGGTCAGGAGAGAGGTGAGAAGATGGCACAAAGCTGCCTCAGTCATCCAGGCTAGATGGAGGTCTTGGAGGGTGAGTCTTTTAAACTTTAACAATTTGGGGTCTTTGTGGTGTTTACTGTTTTTTGTATACTTAATTCTATTGTTTGTCTGTCTTCTTTCTCTGATTTTCCCCTCTTCAGGCTCAGATGGATGCTCTGGCTGAGGCCGAGCTAGATAATGCTGAGGACCTGCAAGAGGAAGAGGAGTCCTGTTCTCTGCCTGCGCTGGACCCTTTGCTGAAGGAACGAGGCTCTGTGCAGCTCTCCAGCATTCCCGAGCCTGTGGCGGTGCACGGCTGGCCGCTGGGCCTGGCCATGGCCTCTGCCCCCAACATCACAGTGGCCCTTACTGCCACTGGCTTCCAGAAGGTCATGTCCTTGATGGCCACTCTGAAGATCCCCTTCAGGCATGGAGAATACAAGGTGGAGACCAACCAGTTCGACCAGGGAGTGGCCTCCATCAGGGCACAACCACGGGTGAGACCTGAAAATAGACTGAGAAAATTTGGCCAGTTGGTAGTGGTTTTAGATTTATGGAGACTGTGGAGATTCAGCCTGAATTATTAGGGGTGTGAATGTGCATCAGTGTTGGTGATTCACCTGCATCATATAACGTTAAAAAAATGGGGAACTGACTTTTTACGCCACACAGTTGTCACATATACAGAGCAAGTATAACGGGACACATGTAGCTACTAGTTGGACCAGAGGAGATATGGAACATATATTTTGGACAATACACAACCCCGTTTCCAAAAAAGTTGGGACGCTCTGCAAAATGTAAATAAAAACAGAATACAATGATGTGCAAATCATTTAATCCATATAGTTAATTTTAATTAACATTGTACAAAAACACCATATCAAATGTTGAAAAATATAAATTTTATTCTTTTTGAAAAACATATGTCCATTTTAAATTTGTTGCCAACAACACATTTCAAAAAAGTTGGGACGAGGGCAACAAAAGACTGATAAAACTAAAAAAAACCTGGTGGTTAATTGGCAACAGGAGAGTAACATGATAGGGTATAAAAGAGCATCTCAGAGAGGCTGAGTCTTTCAGAAGTAAAGATGAGGAGGGGTTCACCACTCTGTAAAAGACTGTGCAAGCAGATAGTGCAACAATTTAACATTTCTCAACATAAAATAGCAAAGAACTGGGGAATTTCATTATCTACAGCACATAATAACATTAAAAGATTCAGAGAATCCAAATAAATCTCTGACTGAAAACTAACACTGGCTGGCTGTGATCTTTGGGCCCTTTCATAATGATGATGAATGTTGTATTCTTTAAATACTATGATGGTTTTCATACATATGAAGCACACTGTTGTCTCTGAATTATACAACATTCATCACCATTATGACAGCACACCAAAAAAGGCTACATAGGTTAACAGCCTAGCTAGCTATTTTGTCTGTTTTGCCTTTGACCTACTGTAAATATTACACTTTGACAAGACAGAAAGTGGCACTGCTAGTCTAGCCTGTGCTTACTGTGTCTATATATTTTGTAAAAAGTTTGTTATATTTAAATGTCTCTGAAATCCTCTTTACCTGGCGGTAGGCATTACCACCTTCAGTTTTCAGTGAGTTGTGCCTGACCGAGTTATGTTGTTCTCCATAGGGTTCTGTGAAGCTCCATATGCGGCGGTCCCCCCTGCGCTACGCCGACATGCACCCAGGACACGGTGCAGACGGAGTGACAGGTTTCAACCAGATTCTGCTGGAGAAAACTTAATTGTGTAAACACTAGTCCTCACCACTCACCTCAGCACTACCCAAACAAGCTTTAATCCAATCCCTGCACCTTCTAAAGCACACATAAGAATGAAAGATAACGTATGAGAGGTGATTCATGAAGCTGCCTTAATGGAATATAATTGAATGCTCTGTTCAGCTGTAAATATACAGGTTGGTCATGCATGCGGTGCCTTCTGTTCTTAATGCAGTGTTAAGGCAGCAATGTACTGTGGGCTTTTTATATATATTTATTCAGAGATTATACTTCCTACACACTTTGGTTTTATACCTGTGTAATCAATGATATCTTTAGAAAGTCTGCCTAATCAGTAGAAATTGCGATCGATAGATCTCCAGTTCTGACTGGGACTAACATGGCTCTGTTAAAGAGGTACGTTAAGCCTAGTCATTTAAATCTTACTTGATAAACTAGACTTAATATATGCAAGGCCTGCCATTGATTTATAAACCACCTGTATTTGATTCGTTAGAACTGACAGATTACCAAGTATTACTCGTATTTATGACTCACTGTAACTCAGAAAAGGGAGAGTATGGCATTGGAATGTATCTGCACTGTTTAGTACTGTGTACTTGATTTATACCCTTTTATACTCTTTTCTTTAAGGCTCATTGCACAGACAAATGTAACGCTACTTTTACGGGGAAGTGTAGTATTTATGTTTATGTCTCTTGCCAAACTAGACAGAAATCATCATCTTTTGTATGTGGTTTTCATTTTTACTCTACTTTTTTTTTTTCCTCAACTGGAATCACAACACTAAGTTATCTGAACAGTGTTCAAGCACTATTTGAGTGATCTCATGCTGCTGAATTATTGGGAACTTGCTAGTGAGTGCTTGACATATTGTAACGTTTTGTGATACAATACAAGTCTTTACAGACAAATGTATTCAGGTTACTGTTTGGACATTACTGTGGAAATGTTAAAGTTCAGTGTTGGCTATCACTTTTGAGTAAATTGCATAATGCTCAGGGCAAATATGATATTTTAAAAAAGATCATACATCAAAACAGACCAAATCCCAGTGTTTCTACAAAGTAACTACACTTAGTTTTGCTACAGCTGCCACAATGTCGACTATTGTAACCATTTATGTGCTGTTTTTTGGCCTAGACAATAATCATTGCTTATAAATTAAATATGCAGTGCTATGTTGCATTAGAAAATGATTCTGGACATTGAATAAGTCTCTTGTGTCAAAGACCAGTCAGTACAAACAGAGAATGTTAAACTATTGATTAAAAAAAATAAATAAATCCTTTTTACAAATTCAAGATGTTCATTCTTCACCATTTTCACAGTTTAGTCTGCATAAATCAAATGAAGTTCTCTATCATTTTGCCCCAGAAGTGTGGATTGTCTCATTTCAGTCTTTATACAAAATGTCATTTTATTTGTTCATAACATCTTCAATTAAAAAAAAAAAAACAGCTAATAGTTACACTAGAAAACATGAGCCCATAATGTGTCAGTACAACCCACACTTGTAAATAAAGTCTTGAATTAGCACATTTCACACCTTCTCAAACTGTACAGCACCCAAGACAAGCCTAGAATGAAGTACAGTCCATGTTCTTCAGGGGAGCCAAAAACAATTAGTCATCAGTTGCAACAGTCCATATATACACAATGCCAGTCATGCTTTGCCTTAGGAACACTGATCTGGTTGATCAGTTCAGTATGCTTCTTCATTTCCTTCTTCTTTTGGTTCAATAATTTTCAAGCACTGGTCAGCAAACTCCACAAACAATGGCTCCTGCATGGCCTTCTTCATGGCCTTTGCTTTGTCCTCAGCGGAATCTACAGTCATCAGCAGCTCCCTGAGGTGAGGGTTCTGCAGCACACTCATAAGGGCCTCCGATTCCCCTGCATCAACACAGTCAATGACAAAATAGCACTTTATGTAATGATGGTGCAGGTCTAAGAAATCCTTGTTCTTGTGTGCTGAACAGCATCCTAGAAAATATTCTAAAATTTGACAGTCAAAGTTGCTATAAAACTCTCAGTATTACAGTTTTGATCACACACGAACAATTCTGTATACAGGGCCACATTATTAAAAGCATTGTTCATGTAACACTGTAACTAATGTTGCTTAGCAACTATAGCCTACTGTTGCTTGCTGGAAGGATTGTTTACAGCCATTATAAATAATGGTAATAAATGATTTATTGGAGATTGGTCCATTTTACCATGTTGTAGTTTGTCACAGCTTATGTGCATTACAGTGATTTAACTCCATTAAGAAGTGGTTTAAAATAACATTTAATTTACAACACATTGCATCAGAACACCCCTTATCCAAAATAAAACCTCAACACATGGTTTACTGCATGGTTTACTGGTTTACATGATCACAAAATATTATCTGGCAATTAATGGATATGTACCAACGATAAACCATCATTTAATGAACGCACAAAACTGCAGTACCTAATTGCCGAAGTTTCTGCAGGGGAACTCTGTCCGACTCGCTGTCCTCATCCAACAGATCATCAACAGTCCAGGGCTGGTCAGCTGAAATCACACCAGTGCCTTTTTTTAAATGACCATTACTGCACAAACAATACACATGCACTGTTAAGGTCCAAAAGTTTGTATCCAATGTGTCTTTCAAAATCAGGTGTTTCATTAAAGAGTCTGCGAGCTCAGACTGTGCCTTTAACATGAGGTGGTGGTAGGAAAGAAAACTGATCGAGGGAGGGGAGAGAACTTTGAGAACTGCAACTGGGCTGGATGGCTTCTGCTTGGACCTAGAAGGCTGGACCCCTCTTTATAACTGTGGTAGAACTGACCCAGGACTGAGGAACAGGGAGGAGGTGGGGTAGTGGTGAGGATCGGAAAACGTGATAACCAGAAACGGAAGGCAGAGATGGGAATTCATAGGGTGTTAAATTGAAAGAGGAGGGGTTTCAGGCAGGTCTTTCCTCCAAATTTCATTATTCCACAACTTCTGCGGACTCATGCCTTCAACATATGGAGGTAGTTTGAGGGGAGAGTGATTGTGAAAGAGTAAAAAACTCAAAGTTAATTTCAGAATTCACAGTTTCCAAAATAATTAAAAACTGTTCAAGTCTTGAGTCGAAGTCTGTGGGTCACAGCAGTACCATTGTCTCGATGCTGATCGTAAAAACGCAGAAAATGGGAATTTATACGGCGTTACACTGGAAGGAGGTTTTTCAGGCATCATGGCTTTTTTTTGTGTTCCTGTTGCGGTAACGGCCTCTACTCTTCTGAGGAGATGCTGGAAAACTGCTGTGAGGATTTAACTGCATTCAACCTCAAGAGCATTAGTGAGATCAGGTACTGATGTTGGATGATCAGTTCTGGATCACCAACTCATCCCAAAGGTACTCCAGAGAGTGCAGTTCCACCGCTCCACAGTCCAGTGTTAGGGGAGCTTCATACCCTCTAGCCGATGCTTGGTACTGGGCATGGTTAGGCTCATGGGCGGCTGCTCCAGAGCATCCCATTCTACTGGTCAGTGCTTTTCTATAGAGACTATACAAGATGTTTATGCATTGAATGCCTGTGAAAGCAAATGTGAAAACCTTAAAGTAGCTAAACTCTAAATTATAAGGGGGTCTGGATACTTTTGGACATGTAGTGTAAGGTAGCTCACAGAAACTCACCACTGCTCTGACAGGCATCTGGAAGTGGTGTGGTGACCGGAGGGGCAGGTTCTTTCACCTGCTGGCATGAATCTACATAACAAAGGTAACGTTACTCTGTCAGCGTTAAGTCTGGGAGATGCTACAAGTTAGCTGACTAACTCAAATACAACTGGAAAGGCTAAACAGAGAATTGACAATCAGGCATTTAAAAAACAAAAAAAATGTAAAATGACTTACCCTCACTTTTGTGTTTCTTAAAGCAACCCAACGAACAGCTACAACCAAACAGAACCCAAACATTACTCTTTACATTCAAAGTAAGTGGCTAATTATTTACTAGCAAGCTGGCTAGGATGATATTAAATGGCCCATACCATACACAATTAAAAATGATGGTTCTTCAAGGGTTATTTAGTAAAGAAAATGAACTCTCAAAGAACCCTTTGCACGATTAAAGGGTTCTCTGCATTGTGAAAGTGTTCTTCAGATTGATGGAGAATGTGCTGTAAATGGACCTTTTTGAAAAGGGTTCTTCTATTGTAACAAGCCGGACATCATAACAATAGAAGAACCTTTTGGGTGCTATATAAAACATGGCTGTTTTTATTACTGTGTCTTTAGCTAAAATAACCTTGTTCTGATTGGCTGCTCTGTATTGTGCCTCATGCAAAAAGCAGTTAAGGTTAAAACACCCCTTATAACCTCAGTGTGAGTGTTGAAAAAAAACAATGACTTCAAAACAGGTTGTTCTTGCAGTTTCTTCATATATGAACAGAAAAGCAAGTGCTATGTTCTCAAATTTAACAAATGTTTGGATGTTAAATGTTTCATTTTAAAAACAGTGAGGGAAATTAATTTTTCCATGATAAAGCTGGGTGGTATATTGTCTATACTGGTACACCATGACAGACACACTGTGATACTGATATAATGTGTTTAAAACAGTGATGTTCCTGTTACAAAGTGATCTGTTTTTAGTTTCTAAATTTTATTTTGTATGCTTCACTCACGGTATCCATGACTTGACACTGCATGTATGTAATTTTCTTAGCAATTCAGAATATTTTGAAAAAACAGTTTAAAAACACAAAAATAAATAGTACATTTCTTTTCTGGTAATATGCCTAGTGGTTACACTATATACACACACACACACACACACACATATATAGACACACACACACATACATACATACATATATATATATATATATATATACACACACATATATATATATATATACATATATATATATATATATATATATGTATGTGTGTATATATATATATATACACATATATATATATATATATATATATATATATATGTGTGTGTATATATATATATATATACACATACATATATATATATATATATATATATATATATATATATATATATATATATATAGTCATCTGTACTTACTATCGTATTCTGCATGTCGGGCATCTGTATTTAGGAATCTGTTCGCTGCAAACTCCGCACAGCTGCATGGCTGCTGGAGGGGAGGATGTTTCTAAAACAGAGACATGAAGAAGAGCATCAAAATAAGCAACACTGCAGGCACGATTTTCCGTTCCACCTTAAATGGTGCAGCAGTTAGCGCCTGTATGGGACCCCGGACACAGTTGCTGCACTATTTAAGGTGGAACGGACAATTTGAACACGAAGCTGGTAAAGGAAGCCAATTTCAGCCTCGTGTAGCCAAAAACATAGAACCGTTTACCTAAATGGAACACATTTAAGTGGTGATTGTAGCCTTTAATAACACTGTGTTTTCACCTACCTCTCAAAAAGTGAATTAAACGAGGTTTTTCGCTTAAAGTCAGACTTTTAAATCACCTCCTCCGCACCGAGCTCACGCTGTTTCCGATACACAGGTCGAAGCGTGCGCTGTGAAGCCAGCCTCAATAAGGGGACTCGAAAATGCATTTCAAAATAAAAGTTCAAAATGTTCACTTGAAAACATATTTTATCAAAAGGAGATTTGACATAAATGAAATAAATTAGAAATATTTTTTAAAAAATAGACATGTGCAAAGGAGGATATTAAGTGAAACTGGGGGAACTTGGATTAGCCTATTATTCAATTATAAAACCCTTTTTTCCCTCTATGGCCTTGAAACACAACAGCGGCCCTGTCCCATTTGAGACACTTGCAGTCTTCACGTCTTCATTTACGTCAGCTGCCTGACAGCAGAGAGGAAGGCATTCAGGTGAGTATAGATGCGGTTCTTCATTCATTTACATTACCACTGAGCTATATTATATATGTAATCTTTTTTTAAAATGTCGAAAGTAATCCTTTTTGATCACTAACAAAAATAAAGAACGAATGAGAGATTTAAAACGCTTATAAACCCAACTAGGCCGAGTGATGAAATCCTGAGGGACTTTTACGCAGACAAGTTCAGGAGCGGAACTCCTGCTGTGTTTTCTCGAAGGTCTCTGGCTTCGCTAGCTCCGCGGTCCCCGTGTCCTTCCCCACGTGTGTCCAGGCTGTTCCGTCCCTGCGCCTCGCTGGAGAACAGGCAGCCATGCTGAAGTCCTTAAGCCGTGCGGTGAGCGTCGCCGCTCGCCTTTCCACCAAGGCCCCCGCCGCCCGCGCCGCTGAGGCGCTGGTTGGTCCGGCTCTGTGCGCTCCCAGCTCGGCTTCCACTCGCCCGTTTACTCGCTCCATCTGGATGCTGTGCAGCAGCAACGGCGCAACTTCGGGCCCCAGGCCGAAGCTCTTAACCACCAAGAGAGTCCTTCCCTCAGTGCCCTGCGGCTGCGGGGGTCTCCACACAGAAGGTAAAGTGGAAATAAGCCGCTTGCGGACCGTCTCGTGTCGGCGTCGTTAACCGGCTTAGTGGTTTGGAGTCGGAGCCAGTTAGCTTAGCTAGCTAGTTCGCGTTTTATCTAACTAAATGTTAATGTAATATTATGTTAATGTAAAGTTTTAACTGCCCATGTAGGTCTCGTTTTAGGTCTACCTCATACTAGGGCTGGGCAGTATGTTAATATATATCGATATCGTGATAAATTTTGTCACAATACAATTTTCTGAGCATATCGTGGATACCATTAGTAGAGCACTGACCGACGGCCTGTTTCATTATATAGGGAGCAAAATTAGTCATGTTTAAAATCATTATATACACTTTCCTGATAGTATTTTATTTTAAATGTGGCACCACTGGCTTTTTTCTCAGTTCCAACTAATCAGATGTCTGAAAAAATAAATATTGTGATAATATCTATCATATATAGTAAAACTTTCTTGAAGGATCACAATATTATATTTTTGCCATATCACCCACCTGCACCACATACTTATTGTCTGGAGTTGTTACATGTTACATGTAAGGTTAAGTTAATGCCATAATTTTAAATGTTATTTATCCAGTATAGAAGTTCTTGGCAATAATACAGTCGATTAAATACGTTAAATGGAAAGAAATGTATCTGCATGTTGAGGCGAACCCACATTCAGTTTAGGTCACACGCTGTTCATTCACATCCTGAATGTGACCTTGAATGACTGATGAAAGTCAGAGCACTGTTGACCCCCCCACCAGGCACTGGAATGGCCAGCGTTAGACATATCAAGGAGCCTGTGCGCTCGTGTCTTTCCAGTGGTTAAATATTTTTGTCTGATGATTGATCCCCAAAATGTTGTGATGTTTTTGGTCATTTTCCTTTGCTGTTGTCTTTCAGGTGACAAAGCCTTCGCAGAATTTCTCACAGATGAAATTAAGGAGGAGAAGAAGATCCAGAAAAGCAAGACCCTCCCCAAAATGTCTGGAGGATGGGAGCTCGAACTGAACGGCACGGAAGCTAAACTTGTTCGCTCTATCTCTGGAGAGAAGTAAGATTTAATTATACATTCATAAAGCAACGCTGTTGTAAACTCTGAAGTCTTGTCTGATGTTATGGTGTTAATAGAGTCACATAGCCTCTGGGGTTGAGTCTGTAAATAAGCCTTTAGTTTCTCTTTTATAGGGTGTCGGTAACATTCAACATTAACAACAGTATTCCCCCAACCCTGGAGGAGGAGCCAGAGCAGGGTCAGAAGGCAGAAGACAATGAGGTAAAGTCTCTCACTGACTGCAGGAAAGTCCTGGAGCAGATGTTGTAACATACACCTGAGGTGGAATTTTTATTAGCAGCTAAGCTCAACATGTAGTGCAACTTGTAATGTGTGGGCACAATTTAAGTTAAAAAGGTTCAGCTTGTTGTACCCATAGTTGTGAAACTGGTGCAACTTGTTGCTGAAGTTGCATAAATAAGTTTTATTGCTAGAAAAGTTTCAGGAAATGGATTGTAAACAGATCGTAAGATGCCTGGAGGGTATTTTACCTCACATATCCTAAGTCAAAAGTCATGCCTCTCCAGGGTCATGACTAATAGACAGTCCTCACTTTTGGCTTTAAAAGGAATTCCGCTGAATTTATTTATTTATTTATTTATTTTTTTTTTTTTTGTAAGTTTAAATAATTCAGTAGTTGAGATATAAACAGTCATTCTGAGTGGTTTGGTGGGAAATGCTTAATTATAGAGAAATTTACGGACTCTCTTTTACAGTGGTGGTTATAGGACCCTGGGGATGCAATTTTTATACAAATCAAACATGGCCATTTTATTTACTATGTAAAAGTGAACCGATATGTCTTAGTTGTTATGTATAATATTAGGAGAAATGGTAAATTCTAGAAAAAAGTTTTCTTTGGGGACTACTTTGTCTTAGAATGCTTTGGATGTACCTCTTTGGCGTGAATGAGTTTTAAAAAATACATTTTAGGCCAAAATATTATCTCAAAAATATGGTAAAACAGTGTGTCAGGCATTAGGCAATTTATTCTTGACCAGTTTGTGGGTGGGGCATTACATCACTGTCCTGAACAATTCTGAGTCGGTAAGTGTCTGTGGAATGAAGCATTTTGCATCAACTCATTCTGAATTACTTTCTTTTACACTCTTTGCATTTAGCAGATGTTCTTATCCAGAGAAACTTACAGAAGTGCTGTTGTCCACAGAGCGAATGTATCCTAGCCAGTAGATCTGGATCAAGTATTGACCACCTTCCTTTAGGAGGTGGTGGTCCATTTTCGGCTTTGTAGGCAAGCATCAGAGTTTTAAATTTAAGCCAGTGAAGGGGATGTAGCACTGGAGTGAGTTAGGAAAAGTTACATATTGATTTAATTATGCAGAAATTTTGAAACATCATTGAAATTCTCTTTTAAGTCATTGGGATAAATGAGAAATTGTGCTTTGTGAAATTCCTCCCTGGTCGATCACTCGACTGAATTTAGATGTGACCCAGCTCAGAAGATTTGGGTCTGTCTCTTGTACCAGCTACAGTGCATTAGTTATTTGTACCTTATGACAGATATACAGCCTCATCAGCAACCAGTAGCCTGTTAATTCTATGACTGTTCTAGGGATGATAATAATAAACAAGGCTTGTTTGACATTTGGCTTTCTTTGTTTTTCAGCCTGACATTGTCTCAACACCTAACTTCGTCATTGAAGTCACAAAACAGGGGGCAAAAAATTCCCTGGTGTTCGACTGTCATTTTCCAGAAGATGAGGTAAGTCCCTTGAACTCCCACAGCTTTCGTTTTTTAATAGTTCTTGATGCAGCACCACAGAACAAACACTGCAAATGAATATGCTATGTTATCTTATTTCAGTGTTTTTTGTTTTTTTTTTTTTTCTGAGTAGTTTAACGTATGGTGTTCAGTCAGTGGTAACCTGAAAGCTTTGTCAGCCTTTATTAAAGTAAAGTTTATTAAAGTACTTTAATGCTTATATATTGGATATTATATCCAAAGATGTATGTCTCTGAGCAGATTGGCCATGGCGAAGGGGAAGAGGAGAGTGATATCTTTGCCATCCGGGAAGTGAGTTTTCAGCCTGAAGGAGATTCAGACTGGAAAGAGACCAGCTACACACTCAACACAGACTCCCTGGACTGGGTAAGAGCCAGAGTTATGTGTAAGATCGTAGCTTATTTCACATGTAGTCTGATGTGTAAATGTAAAGGCATCTAAAATAGTGTAACCTCATTTAAACTAAATTATAGTTGGCTATTCAGAGCAAAAATACGTCCAAGTTGATAATTCCGCTACACACTACACTATGAGGTGGAGATGAACTACCACATGACAAACTAGGAGAAACTTGGAACAAATGGACTAAAATAAAAAGTATTAACTGGCTACGGCTGCTGCTGTTTGTTCATTCAGAGGTGACTAGAGTAGAACAAACCCATAGTAAAGTAAAATAATCGTTACTTTTATGTCTATTTTAGTCATTATTGCATTAAAGTGGCCTAGCAACTTTTAAAAATGGTTTGGCAATGGTTTTCCATTTAACGCAAATGTTGATTTTGCCAAAACATGTCTGGTGTGCAAACTCTGTTTCTTTATTTTAAAACTGGAGCTACGAGGCTAAGGTTGCTAACCAACACTAGACATCAATATTCACCCAAATTGTTTGTGTAAAATTCCCCTAAACTTCTCGTAGTGTATCCAGGTCCACATTAAGGTCACATAGACTTGTCAGTGTGGTTTAAGGCAGAGTATTGACCTACTGTTAGGCACACAGGCCTGGTCTAAAATAGCTGGCTGCTGTATTCAGCTACACAAAGTTTTGTTTTTTTATAGCTGACATTGTCATACTGTATCATAAACCATACTGATGAGTCTGAACGACCTTAATCAAGTGTGATTGGATGCAAATTTGTGCAGGTTGAGAAAAGCTTTGGGGATGTAATTGGGTGAATATTGACTTCTAGTATTTGCTAGCAACATTAGCTTAAATACTAGGGGTGCGGTAAAAAATAGATTCTTAGATGCATCGCGATGCGGACGTGAACGATTCTGAATCGATCAAAAATCGATTTTCTAAATATTTAATTTGTAACGTAATGTTGACGGAACGCAAAAGGCGGAACTTGGAAGTGCGGAAGTGCGGCGCCCGGACAGTCTGTGGCGGCACATAACAAAAACACCGCTGGATGAGCGAGAAATCCGACCGGCTCCCTCTGCATTAAAGTCAGGTTAGATCAGGAGTCACAACCCAAATGATAAGAAGAGCCATTTTGTCCTTTCAACAAAAATCAAACCAGCTTGGGAGCCACAACATTTAATGTTCAGTATGTGTTAATGTCGTAGTATGGGCTAAACAATATAAACGAAAACGCAGATTTACTTCACTCTGCTTTAAGCTTTAGCTATAGCCGCTTTCCTCCCATCTGCGCCAGAAAACTTTTCCTCAGAAGTAGATCAGTTAAATGTCTCTCATCGACTGTTTTATGAGGCTGAAGTCGCTTCTTATTCTCCAGCTTCTTGTTCGAATTTTCCCGTTCCACCTTAAATTCTGACTGAGGCGCCGAATGTAAATTTTTTTATTAAAAAAGATATTGGAAGTAAATTCATTATGGATCATTACAAATACTTTGCTTTAAAAGTACCAAGTCACTTTAAATAACAATAACACCGAGTCACTTGGTCACTTTAAAATGTATATTGTCTCTACATTCTGTATATATCTTGTGTATATTTTATATATTTCAGTTGGTTTTTCTTGTATTTTTAATTTTACTTATTTACTTTCTGTAGAGTGATTAGCTGAGCCTCACCACAAGCATTACAATGCATAAATGTCCTGACATGCAAATAACAAATAAACTTGAAACTTGAACTCGAAACTTGAGCTCACACAGTGAGAAAATTCTATATAGAAAAAAAAGATGCATCAAGATGCATCGATAATCGTTTTATAATCGCATTGCAGCCCTCTGAATCGTAATCGAATCGAATCGTGAGGTGCCTAAAGATACCCACCCCTATTAAATACTGTAAGTACTGAGTAGAACTGCAGTGGAACTTATTAGCATCTGTCAGCAAAGTTATTAAAGATGAAGGTCTAGTCTTCTCTTTTTTGGGATTATTTGGTCTAAAATCAGGAACCAACAGAATCGAATGGAAATGAACACAAAAAGATAAGAAGTGTAATATGAACCTGCTTAGAAGTACAAAATACATCTAACTGTTTATGCATCATCTTCACAGGCACTGTACGACCATTTGATGGACTTCTTGGCTGACCGGGGTGTTGACAACACTTTTGCAGATGAGCTTGTTGAGCTTAGCACAGCGCTGGAGCATCAAGAATATATCAAGTTCCTGGAGGACCTCAATAGCTTCATCAAATGCCACTAATGTTCATAGTTTTGCACAGTCTCCACTTCTACTGTTCTTTCAGCTTATTTGAAATACTAAAGTAAAGACAAAAACAACAGCAAATGTGTTTTATACTTTATTTTATATTATTTTGAAATAATTTAAGCATAGCATACATTCTTTATTGTGAATGTTGACATGTGTAAACCAGCTGTTGCTCAGGTGGTTTACAGAAATTGACATTTAAGAACTGGAAACAAAACTCAAGATGTCCTGGACACAGTTAAAGTCTTTAGTCCTAGACTGGTGAATTGCCCCTGTACTGGTTAATGTAGTCCAACTGTCAAATGTCCTTTAAACAAAAAACGTCTTCAAAACAGTGAGTCACTCAGTAATCAGTTAAAATAGAAGACAGTTTTTCATGATTAGGAATTGTTTAAGAAAAGACAATTGTATCATTCTGACATGGAAATATTTAACAGTGGCATTCAAAAAAAAATAAAAAAAATAAACAGTTCTGTGAGTGTGATTATTGCTTTTTAAATTAAATCAGATGGCTATGTAACCCTGCTCTCCAATACTGAAACAAAACAATTGGACAGAATGTACACCATTATATCCTCTGCAAGACCCATTCAAAGCATTTAAACTGTTGCTCTACTGCAACTCCAATCTTATACACAAAGAGGCACTGCAGATTTTCTTTGCAGATAAGATGGGAAATCCCTGCTCTGCTGTTCTTTGCTTTCCTTGACTTAATCAAATGCTTGGTCTAAATCTCTGGTCTTTCAGACTTTGGACCTACATTCTGTGAGACAGAAGTCATTGTATTGTATCTGCAAGGGTCCAAGGGTTTAAGAAAAAAAGTGATAATAAGAGGGAGGTTCCATAGTTAGTACTGAATCCAATCCAGCCCTGGATTTTGCAGTCACTGGTAAACATGATGCCAGGTCTCTAATCAGTGATATAAAATCTAGGAGAGGAAACTAGCTTAAAGATTAGGGGCTGTATTACAGAAACTTCTTAACTCTGAAATCTTATCTGTTTAGTCACCATGATAACTTCAGTTATTTAGGACAGAAGCTGTTAGAGAACAACAGTTCTTAAGTTCAGAATCATATCCATTAACTCCTGATAAGAAAACAGTATTGCAGAAAGATCCTAACTAGACAGAATTACCTGAATTCTGTCTAACTTTGCCAACCCCAAAGGTGTGTTAACTTCTGTTTCTATTGGTTTATGCAGTGACAGGCAGCATAGTTCATTATAACCAGTGCCATGTAGATCTACAGCCATCTCTACATGGCTCTGACTCTAAGTAGCATAACGACACTACAATTTATCTACACTGAAAACGGTGCTTTGACTTGGGTTTTTTTTTTTCCTAACACCGTTTTAAAAATAGCAGACACAATATTCACTGTCCCCTCCCAAATTCAGGGAAACTGAATCTGGAAAGCAGCGACCCTCTGATAAACAAGCCCTAGCGCTGTCACAATACTCAACTTCCAGTTTATTACATTTTTACCAAGCCCTGCTGGTGACATCCCATATAAGTAAAAAGGCGTGGGAATGAGACAATTAAGCCTAGACCACAGCTTAATATGGCATGATCTTATTCCAATGCCTTACTAACTCGTGGCCACGACTTAATCATCTCTTCCCCACACCTTATTTTTATTCATACAGGATATCCCATCAGGCCTCCATACACACACTTTAGTTTTGTTTGACTTTCAGTAACAGTAGCGATCTGTCTAGCTAACTAATTTGACTGTCTTGATTGTGTTTACGTTTCAGCCGTGCACGTATAGTCAGTTGCTAGGTAACAGACGTGACAGTTGATCGTCAACCTTGATCGAGCAGGTTGAGATTTCCTAACTCGAGATAAGGTGCTGTAAGATAAGATTCCTAAATTAATAAGATTTGCTTCTGTGATACAAATTTGTGAAAAATCTTATCCTGACCCGTCAGATCTTAAAACAAAAGGATAAGAAGTTAGAGTCAGAAGTCAGTAAGATAGGAAGTTTCTGTAAAAGGCCCCTGGAGTTGAAAAACTCTGGCTTACGCTGCATGTTCAGTGACTAAATGAATGGAAAGCTATAATCCATGGTCACCAACCCTCCTTAAAATCTTTCCTGCAGACTGTAGTTCCATTTGCATCTAACATGCAACTCCTCCCTTGCCAACACTAACTGCAATAGTTTTGATATGTTTTTGGCCATTTTTAAATCTATTAACGGCACCTTAAGAAATCTAAGTCACTAAATTATATGCATTATTATATTTGTACTAACTGTACAGAATAGCATGAATTCTCCTATTGCTCAGAGCAACCTTGACCTAAGTAGCAGCTTTAATGCAAGAGCTACACCCCTGCATAAATACCATAGTGTAAAAGCAAGTGTTTAAAAGTTAAGTGACTAATATAGCTTTATTATTTCACAGAAATAAAATACAAATCTTCCGAGGGAAATAACTCCCATGGTTACAGGACATCAACTCCCATAATCCTCACTGTTGCACAGCAGATTGTCACAGGACAATAGAGAGGTAATCACATGCCTGTACAGAAGAGATATTCAGTTAGTGCACTGCATTTAGATAACATTACAAAATGATAGTACAATACTACAAAATAGTACAAGATTGCAGACATTAAAGGAGTACTCAAGTGTTCTTTGACCTAATCTCCACCTGTTGCATCGATTACCACAGACAATTCAATGAGCAGTTGTTTCAGTGCTTCCCCATAAACATCCTTTGTGTTCCCGTCCAGGATATTGTTATGGCAAATATGGCACATTTTTCCTCTGTGTTTTGGCCTGACGTCCACATGAAAATGGTGTTTTAGGTCACTGATAATGGGGCTTCTCAAAAATGCTCTCCAGTGTGGAGATTTTTGAAAACTCACTTCTCAGCGTTTTTGTGCAGATGGGCAAAAGGAAACACTGACATCATGCCATTGACTTGTGCATGGTTCTTGCTGTTTTCATTTACTGCGCAGGCAAAACTCTGTCTAAACACAGCTGATGACCAAGTTTTTTGTGTCTGGCAATTTGGGCATGTTTACAGTTTAATTTAGTTGTACTTTCTATTCAGGAATCAGAACGTACTGCACTCAGTTATTTTAAACAGAGATTCAGCTTAAAATTCTCATATGAAAACTCATGATTGGTGAAAAAGGTGACCAGTTCAGAAACCAATCCCTTGTAGT